TGATGATGATTATTGAGTTGCTGTTGATGATGATGATGATGACGACAACGAAGATGGTGACGTAGACAATAAAAACAATGACGACGATGACGATGATGACGATGATAATCTCCAAATTAAGTTATTAGGTCGTTAAAAGAGATGAATGTATCAAGTTTGACCCGGATCTCAGCAGACGAGCAGACGTATAATTAGGTAGGGGTTGGTGCCTAGGTAGGTAGGTAGGTAGGTCGGGTTGGGCTGTTAGGTGGGGGGATAGGAAGTTTGAGTAGGAGATGCAATGCTATTAAAAATAACTTAGTAGGGTAGTGTAATAATGTTGCTAAATTTAACGATTATGTTATAAGTGTTAGCATTTTTTAGTAGTTTTAGTAGCAGCAGCAGTAGCTGTAGTAGTAATAATAATAATAATAATAATAATAATAATAATAATAATAATAATAATAATAATAATAATAATAGTAGTAGTAGTTGTTGTTGTAGTAGTAGCAGTAGTAGTAGTGGCGACAGTAGCTACATAAAAGTAGTGGTATTAGTAGTAGTGAAAATTTTAGTTCGAACTGATCGCCAATCGATCAATCCAGTCTCTCATATAAGAAATCCCTGTATAATAGCGTGTAAGGTCATGATTATGATGATGACGACGACGACGATGATGATAATGATGATGACGACGACGATGGTGATGATGGTAATTGATGGCAGCTATGTTTAAAAAAAATAACAATAATTACATTGAAAGAGAACAAAAAATTATTTCATTCCTTTCAATGCACTCATTCAATTTCCATTAAAATCCTTCCCTTGAAGAAACTTTCAACAAATCCATTCCAACGGTTTGTAGCATTCAATTGCATGGGACTCAGTCTAGTAGATAGATGAATGTTTGATGGGTTTACTTATTTGTATGTGATAAAAAATGGGATAGAGAGTAGGAGGAAGAAGAAGAGAAAGAGAGAGAGAGAAAGAGAGAGGGAGAAAAATTTAATGTAATATTTTTATGTACGTAGAGTAGAAACGCGATGGAAAATAAATAAAACAGATAGAGAAGAGAAAGAGAGAAAGGAGAGAGAGAGAGAAAAATAAGAAAGAGAAAAAGAAAGAGTAGATAAACATAAAAAATAAAACCCAATAAAGAAAGATTATGACAAAGAAATAGAAACAAAAAGTAGTAGAAGCAGCCATTCAGATCAGAAAATGAAAAGTAACTGACATAAACTGAAAATTTAATTAAATGGATGATGACGACGAGCATGATAATGAAGTTGATGGAAAATAAATAAAGATGATGAGCTGATAAAAGTTTTTACGAGAAATTCTTTCAAGAAAATACTTATGGCCTCAGAGTTGATGTTCAACGTTTGGTTAATTAAAAATTACTGGACGATGAGATAGCGTAGCGGTAAAGTGCTTGACACTGCTATCGCAGGGACCGGATTCTATTGCAAAAAGAATCTGTGTGTGTGATGCGTTGTTTCACGTGTGTGTGTGTGTGTTTGTTTGTTGCTGGTGCTTCTGAATGATGACGAGTTTTGTAATAATAATGATGATGATGTAGCAAGAAATCGAAGATCATATATATGCTGATGATGACGAAGACGATGACGATAATCTTGATGAGAATGATGACGACGACGACGATGATAAGGACATTGTTGTTGACGATAACGATGTTGTTGTCGTTGTTGATGATGATAATGATGATGTTGTTGTTGTTGTTATAGATGATGATGTATGTCATTGTTGTTATTGATGATGATGTTGTTGTTATCTATGATGATGATGTTGTTGTTATCGATGAAGATAACGATGCTGTTGTTGTTGTTGATGATGATGATGACGGTGATGTTGTTGATGATGATGATGATGATGATGACGTTGATGGTGATGACGATAGTGCAGTGCTTTGATGCAAATAGCAAGTGATTTGTTGAAAGACGTCAAGTGTTTTTTAGGATATTGTTGTTGACGGTTTGGGAAGTAACAACAACAACAACAACAACAGCAGCAACAACAACAAAAACAACAACAATAATAATAATAACATCAATATTTCTAAAAGCGACGTATTAAATGTATTATGCTTATTATATTTTTATGCTTTTGTGTGATGATGATGACGTGTGTGTGTGTGTGTGTGTGTGTGTGTGTGTGTGTGTGGTGTGTGTATTTGTGTGCGTGTGTTTGTGTGTGTGTGTATGGAAGGAATGTTCCTAGCCTATATAATCGATTAAGATGTTTGGATATTTACTTGCAGTGTTTGCATACTATAAACGGTTTTTACAATCCGAATGGCAAATAGTTTTTTTTCATTTCTTCTACTCTAAATACCTACTAGATGCTTTTGATGGTTTTTTTGGGATTTGTGTGAATTATGAAATGGACAAACAAACGAATTATGAAATAATTTTTTGAATTCAACCAAATTATAATTTTATAAACAATTCTAATCTCCCACTACAAAAACTTAAACCTCTTTGAATTTTTTTACCATATTTTGCGATTCAGAAGTTGAGGCTTTTGAAATAATTTTTTAAATTCAACCAAATCATAATTTTATAAACAATTCTAATCACTTACTAACTACAAAGACTTAAACCTTTTTGAATTTTTTCTACCAAATTTTGAGATTCAGAAGTTGACACATAGAATCTAATTGTTGGCTTCAAGTGTTGTCCTGGTGATCAGATGTGTGTTAAGTTAGTCTCTCTTTTCTCTATCGTCACATGCTTATATAAAATGGTGAAAATCTTAGTGCGCGTTATCAAAAATGAAAAATTAATGAATTCCAATAAATGTATGTACCCTTTGAATTCGCAGTTTGCTGTTCAAAAATTTTTGTTGTGAAACCATTTGTTACACATATTAATTAAGTTTATTGATGAACATTTTTTCAGGTTTATTAAAAATCTCACATAAGCGAAGAAACACGTACACTTATACACATAACTACACACACACGTACACACAGAGAGAGAGAAACAAACAAACAAACACATAACTACACACAAACAACACCCACATAACCAAACACACACACGCACAGCACACACACACATAACTACACACAAACACCACTCACATAACCATACACATGCACGCACGCACACAAACACAAACACACATTCACAGTTGATTACACAGTTGTTTAATTATTTACATACATATCCATTTGTTTGTCTAGCTGTTTATTTACTGGCCTGCGGGCAATTGTACATTGACACTATTGGCAGCAAAGGATGGCTCTACAAATAACGAATCAGTTAATTTATGAGGCCCTCTTAGAATGTGCGTGCCTGCAAATGCTTAGCTGCTCCTATGTGCGATACTGTCTTTGTGGAAATAAATTCTACGTTTGTTTATATGCTTATACATACATACATACAGATATACATAGATACATAGATACATAGATACATAGATACATACATACATACATACATACATACATACATACATACATACATACATACATACATACATACATACATACATACATACATACATACATACATACATACATACATACATACATACATACATACATACATACATACATACATACATACATACATACATACATACATACATACATACATACATACATACATACATCATGTTGTATTGCGCTCGTGCGTCTATGTTGGCAGACGTTATTATTTCTGCTCTTAAAAAATATTGCCAAGGAAATTGAATGTAATATTTTTTTATATTTATGATTTCTGTTTTGCTGTTTAATATTTATTTATTTAATTTCATTTATTTATTTTTATATGTATGATTCTTTGCAACTATCAAACTCGAGTGGTAACGGGTTTTTCTCGGTTTTATGGGATTTTTACGAATTAAAACCTGAGATCATTTTATCTGCATGTCTGTAGCTTTTTTTTTAATTTTTGGTTTCAATATTTACTTAAAAATCTAATGTAATTTCTTATTTATTAAATTTGATTGTTTTATTATTACTGATAAAAACTTAATTATTTTTAACTTTAAAATTATCTTTCATATGCCGTTAGAAACATTCATCATCGTGTAAAATCGTCTTTATTGGTCAAGATAGTTTGTCAGATTAGCATGAAGACACATGCTTCAAAATGATTTAAACGGCTGATGCAATTATTTTGTGTTAACTGTCATCAGATTCTTAGCCCCCTCCCCGAGTTTATAAGCGAGATTTTACTAAATTGTCTCAACTATGTAAGAAGAACTTTATCAGATTGTATGAATTTAATTGTAATTTTTCAAATATTAACTCTAAAATGCATTCACTAAAAATTCAAAAACGATTTTTATATTTGAAAGCGTGAAAGTCATGAATACTAATTAGTTTATTACTTTCATTTTCTGGTTGGATTGAGTTTAGAAGGTTCTCAAAACTTTTCTGCCATTGAGTTTCTGGATTGGACGGTAGTTTTTAACCAGTGATTCCTTCCCGTTTGTCATCTGTCTCAATAATTCGAGCTATTGCGAAAAATGTATATACATTATTTCTTAAAAAATACGAAATTAGTTTATAGTAAAATAATAATAACATCGTGTGTTTTAGGTTCGAAAATTATTCTGCAGAATTTGTTATTATAAGTTAATCAATTGATTGTATTTTTTTTGTAGCACTAGCTAAATGTTATGTTTTTGAGCCATTTGTAATTAATTTATAAAAAAACTAATAATTTCAATGGCAGTACAAATAAATAAGATTAATAGAAAAACAATTTCAAACAGTATTTGGATGGAGATCAACTAAAGCGTTTTTAAAAGTCAGTCTCAACTTCGTTCAATAACGTTGGTTTGTTGTGTGTGAAATGGAGCATGAATAAATAAAATAAAACATTTCAACAAAATTAGAACGGTAGTTAAAATAAAAAAATGCCGACCCTCAATTCTCACACAAATTTTTACATCTTAATTTTTTAAATTTCGCGCTAAAATTTAAAAATAACCTATGTATCATTGATCATTGATCAAATTTGGCAACTTAATAGAAGCAGCTTTGCCATTTAATTAGAATGAATTGAATTATTTAAAAAATGATAGTAACAGCAAAATGTACTGACTTCATTTCTTTTAACTTCAGCAAAGTTTCTAAAGACGGTCCAATTGACAATTTCAGAGCAGGGAGGAGTAGTAAGGCTACCAGGGTATCTGAAGAACGACCCTTTCTCTTGAGGCAGTAGAAGAAATGGCTTTATTTTAACCTGAACGCTAACCGTCTGCCTTGAAAGTTAAATTTAAATAAGGTGTTAAATTAAATTAAATTGAAAAATTAAAGTGTTTTATTAAATTAAATTAAATTGTTAAATTAAATTAGATTGTTTAATTATATTGTCAAAATAAACGACCGACCTGATTCTTTGACGGAACCGACAAGTCTGAGAATTTCTCCAATGGTTGAGCTGCTGCTTTCGTCGTGTTCGTCATTGTTCGTCATTGTTCGCAACCTTCCAATTTTATTCATCGAAATAATCTTTTATTACTGATTAGAACTTAAAATAACTGTTAACTTTTTAACTGAAAACTCAAATTCAAAAACTGAAGAAACCCAAACAAATAGTTAGTGAAAATGATTAAAGATATTTATCGATGTTTATAATTGGTATTGTTTGATTTAAAAAATAGTTTCGGTGATATTTTATAAACACAACAACTTGAACATAAATGTCTATAAGTTAAGTTTGAAAATAACTGCAAGGAAGCACAAAACTTGGCATAGGACAGCGAGGACAGCTAAACCATCAGCATGCGCCATTGCTTCGTTCAAGCTTTTGTATTTTGTATTGTAATGAATGAGGTGTAGCTAGATTTTGAAATATTATTATTGGTATTATTATTATTATTATTATTATTATTATTATTAGTAGTAGTAGTAGTAGTAGTAGTAGTAGTAGTAGTAGTAGTAGTAGTAGTAGTAGTAGTAGTAGTAGTAGTAGTAGTAGTAGTAGTATCGACAGATTTTTCATAAAATATAAACCATTAAATACGACTACAAAATCGAAATAATTTTTTACACCCACTTCAAGAGGATACTGCCTGCTCTTAAATGTATGTTCGGAGCCCCTGCTGTCATCACTACCCCACTGCCCATGAACCCCCGCGAGTAGGTAGGTCCCCGGCAGACCACCTCCATTCATTGTTGGTTGATTGGCGATTGCTACACCCGGGTTGTACTTTATGTCCAGGTTGACTGAAATTTTAAGCGACCATGTCGGTTGAAAATTATCATTCAATAGGTTAGTTAAAAATAGCAGAAAAAAAGAAGAAAAAACAATATCAGAGTGTTTCCAAAGTGCAAATAAAGCCTTTTTAAAAAACAAAATATTCGTGAAAGATCATTCAGTCACACACGTGTGGCCATTGTTCAGCAGTTCCAACTCTGATACATCGTTTAGTGAATTTCGGTACGCCGACGAGAAAACGAAATCACCAATGTTCCTATTGTATTGAGATTCCAAAGTCTTCAGATCGATGGGAGACTGCTTGAGGCCGGCGCACAGGCTGAAATCGGATGACAACTGGTACCAGTTTTTGGGACCATCTGTCGTACGTTATTCGTTTGGAGGATTTTGAAAATAATTTTTATAATATGGCTGTGTGTTGATCAAATAAAAAACTGGGATGATGAACATTAAATGCGTAACAAGTGGAAAGAAGTGTGTGTGATGGAAATAGTTTTACAACGGTCACCAAATTAAATAAGAACGGTCAACTAAATTTAATGAAATAATAATTGAATAAATATATTTTTAGGAAATAAAAAAATAAATAAATATGGACCATTTAAAGAAAATAAAATATTTACTTTGAACCAGGTTACCGTAAGTCCAATGAACTGGGGATGAGAAAAATTCAATGACATTTAATTAATGATGTGAAATAAGCGAATCTAATTTATCTACATTAAAATAATTTCTAAATTTGAAAAAATATTTGCATAAAATAACTGTTAATAACCGCAGCCAGCCAAATTAATAACAATTCTAACAACGAAAAATATGAAAAATATGAAACCTACCGGAGCCAGGAGTTTCAGAGCAGCAGACAACTCCAAACAGAAAACTAAAAACCAACTCCAACATTTTTTTGACCTGTTGACTTTTTAGTCTGGATAAATTATGCTTTCATACAATGATATGATTATCAAATACGAGTTCGCATTTGATGAATCGAGATTTTCAAAACTTAACTTAACAATCTTAACTTGCAAGCTTTACTTAAACGCACCAAAATATAACTAATTTTTACAAATATATACAATGCACAAAATTTTTCAAACAAACATAAATAAGTATTTCTAAATATTTTATGAATTCATTCATTTGGTGGTTGTACATTCATTCAGCATTGTATTAATATTATAGAGAGAGATGCAATCATGAGTGTAAGGATTGTTAAAAAAAGTTTTTTAAAGTTCATAGTTAAGATGAACACGCACCCACGCTTAGAGCCTTAGAACAACAGAATTTTGCGCTGAAAATAACAGTTAGACAGCTATCTGAAATGTAAAAATAATGATTTCTAATTAACCACACACATTCAGACAGATAAAATCATTAAAATGTAAATCATAAGCATGACAGATGTTTTAGATTATATTGAATCATAGATATCTTGATGTAGTAACAGCCTTTGGATACAAAAGTCCTAACACACGCACATCATTACTTGAGCATAGTAGGCCCTGCATTGAGCCATCGCTTTGCTTATACTATCTTTGTTTTGTAATGCTGTTGAGTTTTGATCACCGTTCATCTACTGAAAACTTTTGTATCGTTAATTGTTAATTTTCTTCTTTTTAAGGGAGTTTACATTTATTTGAGAATTTACAGTATTTGATGTCACCAGTGGTAGAAATTTCATGTTTATAACTAATTCTATAATGTTATTTATCATCGGCATGTCTGTCACATCTTCACATCCTTACACGTTTTTGTATGAGTGTTTGTGCTGATGTGTGTGTGTGTGTGTGTGTGTGTGGTGTGTATAAGTACGCATGTGTGTATGTGTGTGTATAAAAATGTGTGTAAGTTGGTCTGCGTGATTGTGGCAGGCATGTGTGTATGTGTGAACGATAAGGTCGCCTGAAGCACTTGATGTGTTCACTTGCTTGTGAGTGATTGATTGGGCGCGAGTTTGGAGATCATTGTACATTTATAGGGTCTTTGTGTGTGTGCGTATGTGTCTGTGTGTGTGTATGTGTGCTGTAATCATGGATGTGTGCACGAATGTATGCCTGCGTACGTGCTTGTTTGGTTTGGTTTTCATGTAAAAAAATAGTTATATGTATACATTTGTATGTATGTGTGTATGCGTGTGTGTGTGTGTATGTGTGTGTGTTAATGTTTTTGATTGTCAACTTCAATCACAGCATAACATAACTGGCTTCAGTCGTTTTTTATGTTTCGCTTCTCTAAAAAGTCAGCTTCCTTCCCAGCATGTGTGTGTGTTTGTTTGGGTGTGTATTTGCAGTACAATCCCAAATGAATTATTATTAATTTATAGAATTGTTAGCGCTTGTTCATGCGGACCATCAATCATCATCATCTGTGCGTTCATTCATCCATGAATTTATTCTTTTTTTATTTCATTCATTCATTGATTCATTCATTGATTCATTCATTGATTCATTCATTGATTCATTCATTGATTCATTCATTCAATCATTCATTCAATCATTCATTCATTCATTTTTCTTTTTCCTTTTTGTTAATATTTTCTTTCATTTGCTCGTTTTTCCTTCCGTTGGTTTAAATGTTTTCTGGTTCTTTGTATTGTTTGCACGTTTTGTTCGAGCATTAATTTTTTTCCTCCTTCGCTTTGTTTTTTGATTGTTTTTATTTGCTTTTTTTGTATGTTTTTATCTATCTTTTGTTTTTCTAATTTTTGTCCTATCGTTCGTTCGTCCGTTTGTTTGTTTGTTTGTTTAATGTTTTGTATAAATGTTTCCCGCCAAGAAGTTAATTCTGTTTGTTAGACATTAATACACTGTTATCATTTTATTGGTTTAATATTTTATATTCACCTAACGGTTAAAATTTCATTTGTACTATTTTGTTTTTGATGTATTTTAATATTTTTTTTATATATAAAATTTGTTTAGATGTTGTTGTCCTTGTTTATCAGTCAATTTTTTTTTCTCCAATCTTGAATTCAATCATTCGTTCATACCCCATCGGACGTTGTTCTCCAGGAAGGCTGCCAACAACAACAATAACAACACCGACAATAGCAACAACAACACCAACAACAACAACATCACCAACACCAACAACAACAACACCAACAACACCAACAACAACACGCAAACATGCACCCCGTTCAAGTTGAAAAATTTAATTTCGCCATTCGTTCCGTGAGTAAGAAAGGGTGTGGCTGGTGTGAATGTACATTTCTAACTTTCCTATTCATTCACCGCGTCACATTCATTTCTATATTCTTCTCTTTCCAACGAGTCGCGACAACAAAAAACCAACCGGTAAAATTAGTTTCACGAACAAATCTTTGCACTTTGCAGTAGTTGTTTTTTATTTCTTGTGGTGTGTGTAGAACTTGTTGGTGTGCTGTTTATAGGAGTGTGTATGTGCGTGCGTGTGTGTGTGTGTGTGTGTGTGTGTGTGGTGTGTGTGAAATTTTTAAAATTGATCGAGTAGAAAGAACATGTCTTGCATATTTTTCAGCTCGCCACATTGGTACAGCGGGCCATAAAATGGAAATGTGTTGACAAGAAAAAATTAATAAAAAATTCTTTTGGAATTTTCATAGGAAAAAGTCTTCATAGGAATAAATTCATGCATTTAAATATGCTGACAGTAATGTATGTATGCGTCTAAATAATATGTATGTGTGCATGCATGTAAGTGGGTATGTATGTAGATGTTTACCTATCTTTGTGCAGTCATAAGTGTGTGCTGGTTTTTGTATGTTTGTGTGTTTGGATGTTTGTGTGTATGTATGTTTGTGTGTATGTATGTTTGTGGGTATGTATGTTTGTGTGTTTGTATGTTTGTGCATTTTCTGTTTATGAGGGCAATATTACATTTACATGCCTGATTGAAGAGGAATTTATACGAAGAAAATTGTTTATAGGAGCAACACACGTCGCCCAATCAAGATACGTCTATGTTTTCGCGCGTATGTGTATGTATGCATGTATGCGTCTGTACGTATGTATGCATGCATGTATGTATTCCCACAAATACGAATACAGACAATACCAAACATGTATATACTCAAACAATAAAGATGTGTATAGACAAACACAGAGATACATCTACATACAAAAATACCCGAATGTGTAAAATACCAAATGCGGTATTTGATTTTGCATTTGTATTCATTGAGGTGCGTGGTTGAGCCGGGTGGCTTGGGGTAGGGAGGAAATGTTTTAGTTGGGAGATTAAATAAGTCTTCTGAGGATTTCGTTGCACCGAAATTGATTTTTTGACTTTATTTCTTGGAGTAATAAAACGAATATATACAAAACAGAACAAAACGAAACGTTGATTTTTATTGTGTATATTTATTTTTCTTAGAAATATATTTTATGTTGTTGATTAAAGCATTAGAAACAATCGTCGTCATCATAGCTTTAGTTTCTTTATGCAATGAAAAAACATGAACATGAGAAAATCAATTTGTCTGCACGTTTGTGTGTGTATGTGTATCCATGTATAAGTGCACATATGTGCCTGTATGTTTGGTGTGGGCATGTATGTTTGCATATATGCGTGTTGCTTATGTATATATTGATTTGGAATTGTGTGAGCACACATTTGTTTGTGTGTGTGCGTGTGAGTTTTTGTCTGTGTAATGTGTGGTCCGTGTGTTTTTTATCTGTATGTGTGTTTCTGTGTGCTTTTAAATATAGAAATTTTTTCATTTATGACATGAAAGCATTGCTAACAAATATATTGCGGAACAATTTTTAAATTAAAATTAAGACGACTGAACACCATTGCACTGCACATAGCAACCGCAAGTTCTGATTAGAAATCCATTTATAAAAATTTGCTGTATGTGTGTGTTATTGTTTTTGTCCGTATGTTTGCATATTTGTGTGTATATCTGTGTTTATGTGTCTCTGTACAGGCTGGTGTATGTTTTATGTTGTGTGTATTTTTATGTATCTCAGAGTGGATTTATAAATATTTGTGTGGCCTGGTGTGTGTGTGTGTGTATTTGTGTGTGTGTTTGCGTGCGTGCGTGCGTAAGTGTGCGTGCGTGTGTGTTGTGTATATACTGTGTAGAAACATCAATTGAATTATTATATTTGGTGAAAAGGGTTGATGAAGTTGCGGCATGAGATGACGAATGAAGCTGCTGCAGCTGCTGTTGCTACTAATGACGGTGCCAACGACGACGACGATGATGGAAAAAACTTCATTTTTCCCGCTTCTTTCATTTCATAACATTATAATTAAACTAATAATAAAACTGTTAGTTTTGGAATGTTTTTAAATAAGCATTTCCAATATAGACCTCGTCTAGGCAGCAGTTGAACCAAGTGCTTCAACCATTACGCCTTCTAAATCGGTTTAGT